CAAAGATTCCAGCACAAAGCAGGGAGCAAGCCAGTTTCAGCAGACATTGCACCACCAAGCTGGCATACTCACTTTGCTGCCTTTGCCCTGCTGGGGCATCCATAGCTCTGCCTGCTTAAAGAGCATCGGGGGAGCCGGAGCCCTGAGGAGTCGGCTACCGTAACTTCCAACACTGCCCTCCAAAAAGAGAGAGAAGTGGGGAGAGATCTGCAGAGACCAGGCGCAGCCGAGTGAAGCTTCAATCTGCTGATTAATTCAGCCTATTTCCAGGCACGCTGCAGACTCAGGAGGGAGGAGGAGGAGGAGGAGGAGGAGGAGGTAGCAGGCGGCTGCATAGCAGCCTGGGAGAGAGGGAGAGAGGGAGGGAAGGAGGGAGAGAGGGAGGGAGGCAAGAGGAGAAAGTTTGTACAAGGTTGGGCCAGGTGTCCAGGAGCTGAGCCGGTTCATCAGAGGAGGTCCCTGCAAGGGGACTGCCAAGTCCAGGTGAGCAGAGGGCCAGAGGCAGCAGAGGGTGTGGACAGACTGCCAGACAGATGGGAGAAGCTGCGCAGGAAACGGCTGCTGTGGGCACGGCCAGGCACTGAGCACAACTGCCGGCATCAGGGAGGATCCTGCGGTCTGCTGAGTAGTGGCTGTCTTCCCAGACCTCCTTCCCTTTGCCTCCACGTCACTGGGCAAGGTTAGGGGGCCCTGTTGTGGGTGAGTGTGTCATCTGTGAGTGCTGCCCTGAACCACTCAGACACACTCCAGCATGGAGCCAGGCCAGCAGCAGCTCTTTGCACAGTTAAGAGCTGCAGGAAGGAGGGCAGAGGGCCTTGAGTTATTAATAGCAGCACATCCTTTGGGGACAGGAGGGGATGAAGCAGGGGGCCGGCTGCAGCCAGGAAGATAGGCAATGGGAGGGACTCCCACGGAGACATCTAGGAGGGGAGGCGGAGGGCCAGGAAGCTAGCAGAAGAATCCAGCTGAAGGCAAGAGAGGAATCAGCTGAAAGGAACCCGGAAGCCAACACCTTCCAGCCAAGTGGTGTGGGGATGCTGCGTGAAAGCCCAGCCGCAGGTGGGCACCCTGGGCCCCTCATCTCCAGTTTCCTGGGGCTCCAGCCCCAGCACTTCCCTGAGCATCAGGCTGAGCCGGAGGGAGTTGTGGCAGCACAAGCATCGCTCTGGGACCCCAAGTTTGATATGCAGGAAGCTCTCAGCACTGACGCCCTGGGCCAAGGGGGACGAAAGGCACTGGGAGTGGGTTGGAAACTTCTCCAAGCCCAGGCCACCCTTCAGACGGGCCTCAATCACCGGAGAGGAGCAGCCTAACAGCCCGACAACCAGAGCTCGGGCTGGGGCCTGGGCTGGGGCCTGAGTGTGCTTCTCCAGGGCCCTGTGTTTCCTAGACGACACCGTCTGGAGCCTCAGGGAAGGGAAGACAAAGCCTCAGCAGCACCAGCCAGCCTCTCCCCTCCCCTTTTGCTAGCACAGCTCCCAGTGGGCCACCACACCAAGGAGCTGAATGGGAACAACAAGGAGGAGCCAGGCGTTCAGAAGTGAACAGCAGGAAGTCTGCAGGAGGTGCAGAGAGGAGGAGGCGGAGTCAGCATCCACAAAGGCCACTAGGAGGATGGAGCTGCCAGTGCAATGGGGCTGCAGCCTCGGAGAGCCAAGGAGGAAGCCTCCAGCCCCTGCTCCATCCCCTCAGCTTTCTGCGAAGGCCCTGCTCACATGGGGCCAACAGAAACCTGCACTCTCCCTTCTGTGGCAGGCCCTGGAAGGAACAGCTCAGGAGGTCTAAGCCAGATACTCCAGAAGGCCACCAGCCAGTCCTCCCGTGTCCTGCCTCCCTTCGTACACTGCCACTAACAAAGGGGGCCCTGCATAGCAGCTGCGGAGGCTGCTCATGTACAGCCAAACACCTCATGGGATTTGGCTTCTTGGTTTGGAGGTTTAGGGTCATGGTTTCATGGGACATCCCAGGTAACTGGCCTAATATCATGTTTAGTGCTTCTGTTCTATCTCCTAATTCATAAAACTTAAAAGCTTACAAGTGGCCATCCAAAGTACAACAATTTCTCTCCATTCACCTGGAGCAACAGAGGAAGAAGGAGAGTCTGGAATAGGAGGAAGAAATGGAATGTGTGGCTAGTTGCCTCCATGAACAACAGCCTCCTTTGCCATGAGACCAGAAGAACTGGATGGTGCCTAGCTATCATTACTGAAATGTTTTGCTCAAAGCTTCTATAGAAGAATCCTGATCGAAAGGGAGAAAATGCAGAACAGAATTTCAAATTCTCACGGACTTCTGACTTTCTGAATCCATGGAGGCTAGATGACCCAGAAACTAGTGTCCTGAGATAATCATTAAACCTTGAAGCAAAAATAACCCCTGAAGTGTTCTTTAAAACAAACAATAGCTTAACTAGTAAAGAATGTCTGCCTTGAGCATTGTGCTCTTTTAAGAACTATCTATATGGGATTAAATTGACAATAACGACTTGAAAGGTTAGATAGGAACCTTACGGGGCAATGAGTTTATGTTAATGGAGGTGGAACAATTTGGAAAAGGAGGGTGCGAATGGTTGCACAACTTGAAGAATGTAATCAATGTCACTGAATTGTACACACAGAAATTGTTGAACTGGTGTGTGTTCTGTGTATATTCTCAACAACAATAACAAAAAAATTATAAAAAAAATTTTTAAAAAACGGGAGCCCTGCATCTAAGGAGCCAGACCTCACTGCTGCAGCTCCCCCATCATGGGCTGGGGAACAGGAGCCAGTGGGGAGGGAGAGACTGACAACTGAAAGAAAGAAAAGTGGGGACGGTACAGAAAATCACCCAGCAACAGCCAGCAGACAGCAGGCCAGCTCCTCGTCAGTCTGTCGTGCCAGCTTGCCCCAGTCCTGCTCTCCTGCTCCTCCAAAGAGCCTTCTGACTGTCCCAGGCCACCAGGATTATGTTTAGAAGCCCATTTCTGTAATTCACATGGCGCCTCAGGTAGAAACCCCATCAGGTTCTACTTACAAACTGCTTGTATATCAATTCCCAACAGGCCTGTCCAACTCTCCAACCCAGGGCCCACCTCCCCAGTGCCCAGAGCTTTACCAGCCCAAAGTAAGCACCCCACAAAGATGGGATGGTGAGGATGGTGACAGTGCTTTCTAGTTTAGGGCTCATCTTCCAGAAAGAGATGGAGGAGAGCAAAGAAAATTCCTCCAGGAAAAAAGACCCCTGAGAGCTATCTGGCCTGAGTTCTCCTGTGTTCTCTCTCAGGCTCAAGAGACGCCAGCCCCCTCGGATTACAGAACGTTGTTTCCCACATTCACTAGGAGTTGGTGTTTCAGCACAGGCTGCAACCAGAGGACAATAGTGTCCTCTGTTTTTGAGGCCTTCAGCCTCCCCCAGGCAGGTCACCGCACTGCACAACATTATAGCCTCTGGGAGCATGTTCCCTGGAGTTGAGCAATACACAGCCCTTGCAGCTGTATGCAGCAGCCTTGCACCCAGGCTGGGGGACAGGCAAGTGGAGCTTTCTTTGCCAACCACTGTTAGAATGGTGACCTGCACGGCAGCCGGAGGCATCTTTGAACACACCTGCATCAAGTTCAAGTCCACAAGCCTGTTCTCCAGCTGGTCCAGAGGCACAGGAAGTCAGGTGTCACTAAAGACCCAGCGTATGGACTCAGAGCCCCTTCTTCAGACCTCCTCAAAGTCTCTTTGGCAGGAAGATCACTCCCATGGTTCAAGTCAATAAATATTTACTAAGCCCTTGCTACATGCCAGGGGCTAGGGATACTGAGATAAAGTGGGACAGATTATTTCAATACCCCGTGGGAAGTACGATGGTGGAGATACGATGACTGCCGACAGGAGGGAGGAAGGGGGATCCACCTGAGAAGATGATGCCTAAACTAAGTCCTGTAGGAGTCAGCACGATAAAGGGTGGGGAGCACTTCAGAGGAAGCTGCCTGAACATGGTGTATGGGCCCAAACTACAAAGTGTTCAGAATTATTAGTGGTCACAGTGAGGGCTGGCGAGATAGGCAGGGGCAGGTTAGGGAGGGCTTTGTACACCACACTAAGAGTTGTGTCCTGTAGGTGGCAGGGAGCCACAGACCAGAGTTCAGCAGGGGTGACAGAAGGACAGCTCTGCGTTTCGGATTGCAATCTGGCAGCTGTGTGGAAGATGGAGGCCAGAGGCAGACAGCTGTTAGGAGGGTGGAACAGAAGTCCAGGCAAGGGATGAAATGACCTCCTCTGGGGCAGTCTCTTCTAGGTTTTTGGATAAAATACCACAGAGGCGAAGTGCCCTTCTCATCACATCATATCCGGGTACTAATATGCACATGACATCACTAATGATGTTGACCTTCATCACTTGGTTACAGCAGTGTTTGCCAGGTTTCTCCACTGTAAAGTTGCAGTTTTTCCCTTTCTTTTTTTTTTGAGGGGGTTGGGGCAGTCTTTGTCTTAGGAGAGGGCTATTCTGATTGATAAACCGGGGCTACGTAAGGCTGGGAGAAGGAGGCCGATCTGGTGGATGGCCTGGACCACCTGGCAGCCCTCCACCAGCTGATGAAGCAGCTGAGCTTGGAGTTTGCTCGGGGAGCTTTTCACTAACCACAGAGAGGGTGCCCAGCTGAACTCATCATGGCTCGGCAGGTCCAGGCATAGCCCCCGCAAAGAGCAAACAAACTAAATTACACACCCCTGGGCAAGAAATGGAACCCTGGCCCGGTGCCACTCCAAATCAGAAACCTCACTCCATGCAATGTCTTTGCGGCTCCACCCTTTATCCTTTAGTCAAAGCTCACGAGTCTGAGCTTTCCAGCCAAATAATGGCACCCTCCCAGAGGGTCACAGTTACATACCTCAGCCTCAGAACCACATCCCCACTTTCACTTTCGGTTCAAAGCCCCCAGATGAGGCCCTCCCAGGCCAGCACAAGTAAGGAGAGTCCAACAGAGACACACGGACAGATGCTCATCAGGTAATAGAAAACAGCCTACCGGAAGCTTCTCCTTCAGGTCCATGGGCCCGGAGTACTGCAGGCATGCCCAGATGAATGTGATCACCCCCGAAAGGAAGGCTCCTCCCCAACATGTACAAACCCCAGTGCGTCTGTCAGTCACAGCATCTGGGGAAAAAAGAAGGAAGACATCACGTAAGTCTAGGTTGCTGGACGGAACTGCTGCATGTCACACAAGAGCATCATCTGAACAGTAGAGTGGTGGATGGAAAAGAACTGGTCCCACTTACCACCAGTGCCCAGCCTGTGCTGTCCTGGCGGCAGAGCTTCCTTCCCCCAAGCGGTCAGCTGAGAACTACTTCCACTCTCTGAGGCAAGCAGTGAGTAGGCTACAGAGGGCACTGTGCAAGGGTGCTAGCTTTCTCTCCCTGAACCCAAAGACCACAGCCTTCAGTATGGACTACACCTCAACATAAAGAAAACAAAAATCCTCACAATCGGACCAATAAGCAACATCATGATAAACAGAGAAAACAATGGAAGTTGTCAAGGATTTCATTTTACTTGGATCCACAATCAATGTCCAAGGAAGCAGCAGTCAAAAAATCAAACAATGTATTACACTGGGCAAATTTGGTGCAAAAGAACTCTTTAAAGTGTTAAAAAGCAAAGATGTCACTTTGAGGACTAAAGTGCACCTGACCCAAGCCATGGTATTTTCAATCTCCTCATATGCATACCAAAGCTAGACAACGAATAAGGAAGACCAAAGAAGAATTGATGCATTTGAATTATGGTTTTGGCGAAGAATATTGAACGTGTCACGGAAGAATGAACAAATCTGTCTTGGAAGAGGTACAGCCAGAATGCTCCTTAGAAGCAAAGATGGCAAGACTTTGTCTCACTTATTTTGGGCATGTTGTCAGGAGGGACCAGTCCCTGGAAAAGGACATCGTGCTTGGCAAAGTAGAGGGTCAGTGAAAAAGAGGAAGACCCTCAGTGAGATGGATTGACCCAATGGATGCAACAATGGGCTCAAGCATAGCAACGGTTGTGCGGATGGCGCAGGAGTGGGCAGCGCTTCATTCTGTCGTACACAGGGTCGCCGTGAGTGGGAAGTGACTTGACGGCACCTGACAACAACAACCCTAATCTGGAAAGGCACACTGTTTTGTTCCACACGTACTGTTTTACTTGCCGACTTCCAGCAGGCAGGAAAAGCATTGGCTTATCAGCATTTAAAAAAAATTTAGAGTTAAGGTCAGGATTAAGGTGAGCTGGAATCCAGATACCACTCAATCAGTGGAGTCATGGGGAGAGCAGTAGAAGGATGGAGAGACATGTTCACTCTACTGTTGCCACCAGGAATAGGGCACACATGCCACACGTACTCAACACAAACACACCCACAGACACCCAAGCCCCTCAGGTCGTTTGTTTGCTGACAGGGCAGTACTCAACAGGCACCTGGGCAGGTGTCCACAGAGATGGGCAATCAATCTGACAGCCGCCTGTCTGACAAAAGGTGGTTAGTTACCTGGCAAATAAAGATTACCCCTAGCTCTCTGTCCTCTACCACCCTCCCCACACATCCCCTGACCCTCACCCATTCATCCTGGGAGCCAGCCCAACGTTAATAATTTCAGACCAGGGTGTGTTTGGGTAAAGAGTGCTACTGACTAATCTAGTCTGGTGCCAGATGACTCCTCGTGGAGAAAGCCCTAACCTGCTGACTAGGGCAGTTTCTCTGACCTGCAGCAAAGCCTCGCTAACAGGAGCCAGGCAGAAGCCCAGGAAAACCGATCCAGAAAGAAGCTGTCACGACACAATAAAAACGCTGTGTTTAGAGGACCCCAGCCAGGACGCCAGGCTCTGCAGCCACCAGCTCCACACAGAAATCCCACTCTGATTCCTTGCAAGGAGGTAGCAGTGCTGACTTCACATCCTGCACAGCCACGTCTCTCCCTACCCCTGCCTTTCCAGCTGATGCCTGCAAAGCTGAGCTAGCCCCAAAGGATCAGGGACAGACAGCGAGGCTGGAAGCAGCCCTCTGGTACAGCCAGCTGAAATGGGATCCTAAGAGGCCAGAACTGCTCCTCCCCAAGGCCCCTCTCTGACTCAGGCTACCCAGGCCACATTGACGAGTATGGTTCAAGGTCCCTATGACACCCTCCCAGCAGGGGCTGGATAAGGAAGTCCTCATACCAGGAGCCAGCTGGGGACTGTGCCTATTAACTCCTTCCGCCAACACTAAAAGGGTGAAATAACTCTGCGTCCAGCTGAAACCACAGCAGTTCAGAGAGGGCAACAAGGAACAGGAAATTTTTCTAAGAGACTCTGTTTTTCCCATCATGCCACACGTGGGATTCTGGGAGAAAGCTGTTTTTAACTGTCTGATCTGAAGTCAGCAGCTGTATCCTTAAAGGGCCAGTTTGACTCCTGGCCCACTGTGGGGGAAAAGAAGCACAGGCTTCAAAGTCAAATACTCCTGGGTTCAAATCCTGGCTCTCATACATACCAAATGTGCGACTTTGGCAAATTATTTGTTCCTCTGAGCCTCAGCGTCCTTGTTCATAAAATGGAAATAATAGTACCTATTCCACAGCGGTACTCTGAGAATTACATGAAATACATGCAGAGGGTCTAATGCAGTATTTGGCACATAGTAGGTGCTCAATACCACCACCTGCCTCAGTCTGTCATACTGTAGTGGCTTATGTGTTGCCATGATGCTGGAAGCTATACCACCGGTATTTCAAATACCAGCAGGGTCATCCATGGTGGATAGGTTTCCAGACCTTCCAGACTAAGACAAACTAGGAAGAAAGGCTTGATGATCTACTCCCAAATATTAGCCAATGAAAACCCTATGGCTCACAGAATATTGTCCAAGACTTTGATTTACTTACTTTAAATACGTCATCAGGATAGACCAATCACTGGAGAAGGACATCACATTAGGTAAAGTGGAGGGCCAGCAAAGGTGAGGTAAACCCTCAGTGAGATATGTTGATACAATGGCTGCAACAATGGACTCAAACTACCAACGATTATGAAGCTGGCACAAGACTATGCAACATTTCATTCTGTTATACATGGGGTCGCCATGAGTTGGAGCTGACTTGACAACAACTATCAACAACGACAGGTTCTCAATAAGTAGTTGCCATTACTATCACCAGCAAACAAGAAAAATGGACCAAGTGCCACCTAGGTCAAGAATAAGGACTCAAAAGTAAGGTAGAAGAAAAAGAAATGAAAGGCATAAAAATTGAAAGTAAAATTGTCTTTATTTGCAGAAGACTAGATCATATACATAGAAAATTCTAAGGAATCTACAAATAAGATATTAGAATAAATAAGTGAATTTTAACAAGGTCACGGGATACAAAGTAAAAATATAAAATATAAACATATATTGTATAAAAATTGTATTTCTATATGCTATAATGAAATATTGGAAAATAAGTCTTTTAAAAAAATCATTTATAACTGCACCAAAAGAAAAAAAAAAAAAGAAATACTTAGCGATTACTTTACCAAAAATATATGCAAGATCTGTACACTGCTGGTAGAAATTAAAGAAAGTCTAAATAAATGGAGAGCTATACCATGTTCATAGACTGGAGACTCTGTATTAAGATGTCAATTATCCCCAAATTGATTTACAGATTCAATACAATCTCAATCAGGCTCTTTTGTAGAAGATGAAAAGCTGATTCTAAAATTTATATGGGACGATAAAGGGCCTATAACAGGCAAAACAATTTTGGAAAAAAAAAATAAAGTTAGAGGACTTACACTACCTGATTTCAAGACTTGCTATAAAGCCTCAGTAATCAAGACATGTGGTACTAGTGTAAGAGGAGACAAACAGATCGAGAGGACAGAATAGAAAGTCTAGAAATAGACCCAAATATATAAAAATTGAACTTTGACCCTTACCTCACATCATACACAAAAATTAACTCAAAATGGACCACACATCTAAACCTAAAGGTTAAAATTATAAAATTTCCAGAAGAAATTACAGGATAAAATTTTTATGACTTTGGGGTAAGCGAAGATTTCTTAGAACACACACACACACAAAACATGAACCATAAAAAGAAAATAATTGCTGAATTGGACTTTATCAAAATAAAAACTTTACTCTTCAAAAGAAGTCATTAACAAAATAAAAGGGTAAACACAGACCAAGAAAAAATATTCACAATACATGTATATGACTTGTGTCCAGAATAAAGAATTCTTCTAATTCAATAATAAGACAAACAACCCGATTTTTTAATGGGCAAAAGATTTGGACACGTCACAAAACAAGATATACAAACAGCCAATAAACATATGAAAAGATGTGCAACATCATTAGTCATCAGGGAGATACAAATTAAAGCCACAATGAGATACTACTACATACCTATTAGAATGACTAAAATGAAAAAGGCAAACGATAACAAGTGTTGGCAAGGATATGAACTTAAATTGCTGGTGGAAGTGTAACTTTGAAAATAGTTTGTCGGTTTCTGATAAAGTTAAGTATACACCTACTATATGACCCAACAATCCCATTCCTAGGTATACCAAGGAAATGAAAACTTATATCCTCAAAAAGAATTGTATACAAATGTTTATAGCAGTTACTCATAATGGCCCAAAACTAAAAACAACACAAATGTCCATTTACAGGTAAACGGATAAACAAACTATGGTATAGCCACACAATGGAATTCTACCCAGCTATAAAGCAGAATGAAGTGCTGATACCCACAACAATATGGCTGGAACCAGATACAAAAGAGTACATAGTGTATGATTCTATTTATATAAAAATTAGAACAAGGAAAACTAATCTATAGTGACAGCAAGCTAACTAGTGGTTGTGTGGTTGCCTGCGGTGGGGGGAGTGAATAGCTCCAAAGGGCATGAGGGATCTTTCTGGAGGGATGGAAATGTTCAACATTTTGATTGTGGGTGATGGTTACATGAGTGTACACATTTGTCAAAATACTTTCAACTATACACTTAAAATAAATGCATCTTATCGTGTGTCAATTCTGCCTCAATAAAGTTGACTTAGAAAGGTAAGTGGAACCTGAGATTCAACTAAATCAACTCAACCAACTCTTAAAATGCCTAGCACATGCAAGATTTGGGGATATAAATGA